CTTTGTGAATTAAGGTAACAGTTAGGCCTTCGTGACAACAACAGTCATTGTGAATCTTTGGAAATACACTAGTCTTAGTGAGTTACAATTAAATATGTTTGGATGGAACCAATTATAAATTCAGAACGTGGGAATAAATCAGTAGATTACTACGTATATTAAAAAGAAACAACTCTCGAACACCTCGTTTAACTGTAATGATCCACCAAAATCGCACGTTAACACTATCAAATAATAAAACCTATCATTTTAATAGAATGATAAAAAAATATTCTATCAAAATAATAGAAGAGTCACTCTAAAGAAACGATAATAAGTATCATTCTATTAAAATGATAATTCTGTTAGAATGATCTATCTAACAGTACATTTTATCATTCTTTTTTATTATTTTATCAGAATAATCCTTTTATCATTCCTTTAGAATAATTTTTTTATCATTTTATCAGAACAATTGTTCCTTTAGAATGATTCTTCTATCGTTTTATCAGAATAATAATTTTAATCATTTCTTTAAAATAATTTTTTATTATTCTATTAAAATAATCCTTCTATCATTACTTTAGAATGATTTTTTATCATACTATCAGAATAATGGTTTTATCATTTTGATAGAATGATTCTTTTATTATTTTATTAGAATGATCCTTCTATCATTCTATCAGAATGATAATAAAAGTAAAAAATTGTTTAATTTTTTAGCTTGAGTTTAGCACTTGATTCAACTTAACTGAACTTGTCTAACTTGTAATTTGAGTCTACTCATTTAAAATTCAAATAAAATTTATATATAAAATTTTTGCTAAATATGAAATATATTTTTTTTAATATATATAATTAAATTTTTTAATAAATTTAACTTACTTACACTATAATAAACAAAATAAATAATAAAAATTTACAATATATGCTATATTTAAAAATTATTGAAATGACTGATCATTTGTCATTTATCATTTGAGTCATTTGCCAGTCATAAATAATCATTTGGCAAATACTGTGTGTACTATAACTGTGACTTATTTATTATACATCTTAATTATCCAAATTTAAAAAAGCAGATGACTGAATTTGTTCAAGTTTAAGCCAACGCGAAAGAAGTATTAGTCGTTTTCGTAATTTGTTACACTTAAGGTTGCTGGACGAAATCAAGAGTTTAAACAGTCGTCTAGATGGTAAAAGTAAAACTTGGTTAAATTATATTAAAACCTTATTAAAAAATTTGCGAAATTTAGAAAAAGGTAAAACTATATCAAAGCTTATAAAAATGGCGAAACTATATCAAACACTTAGTAAATATTTAGCGAAACTAAAAGTTTTACCATTTTGCCAAATCCAAAATGAGTTTAGACAAGCAACCTTAGTCACACTATTTGTAAACAGTTAATTTCTTAATGCCATAATGCCATAATGCCGGCCGACGAAAATTTTTGCTGTCACATGACTAATTTTGATTAGAACTTGAAATTTATATCATGAAGAGATATCTGTTATCTGTTCATGATATTTATTAGATAAAAGTAGTTATACAATACATTTTTATGTTTCGGAGGAAAATAAAAAAATCAGTTTTATAAAAATTCATTAAATGGGTTTATATTGCTCGTTAAAAATAGTAATTTTAATCTATAGTTCTAAACGTTCTCCCTAATAATAAATATGATAAACAAAAAATATTTTTAGAAGTTTAACATAAATACGATCAAACAGAATTTAAAGTATTAAAAATTAACTTACATTTTCGTTAACAACAAATAGATATTGTCCAGCAATAGCACCAAAAATTACCAATACTAAGGATGTCGTAGGTCTTTTAAAAGTATATAAAGTAGCCAACGATAAAACGTACAAAATAGCTGCTATGGAACTATGTTGGGCAGCAACCAAATCTTTTTTTTCGGGTGGTAAATTGTCTATCATTGCTGTAGTAGTGACAGAAAAATTTAACAAATCTAATGCTGTAATAGCAATAATACCTACTACGCTAGCTGAAATACCATCAAAAAATGCTGCAAGAAATTTATTACGAACTAATTTTTCGAGAGCATGATGACCCAATATCGTAAAAAAAAAACATGGTGTAAGAATTCCTATCGAAATCAATGTAGCATTCAAGAACGCCCATGCATGATTTCCATTTCCATATACCCAACCACCGTAGTATCCTATAAAAGTGGAAAACATAACTAATGGTGATGGCAAAATCTGACCAATAGCAATCGCGTCGAGAAACGTTTGTTTTGCCATCCATTTTCCAATCATAACGGCTTCTACTTGCAAGAAAGGTATGGTTGTCTACAAAAAAGGGACATATACAATTAGAAGATGATATTCGATACAGAAAACATACTACAAACTTACGTAAGCTCCTCCAAATGATAGACTTCCCGCAATTAGACCTAAGCCAAATATATGGCCAGGATCAGTTTCTTTTCCTACTCCGGTTGCTTTGTTACGTAGTATAAAATATTAGTCAACAATTTTAACGTAACTAACGTAATGTAATATAACGTAATGTTATTAGCTAACCTATTGAATATTTTGATGGAAGTCCTCTAAATCCGACATAAACTCCAAATCCGATGAATTCCAACACAAAAACCAATATTCCGGGCCAATACATTTTTCGATCAAGAAACATATAGGCTATACCACATACACCTAACGTAATAAAAAAATTTAAATTCACAACAGTTTGTATAGCAGATAATATGGCTAAACCAAATAACAAATAATTAAATTTTCTATCTCGGCTAGATATAAACGAATGATCTCCAATTTTATGAACAGCTCTTAGTACCATTGCAGCTACAATAGGTTGTAAAGCACGAAATGACGCATTAAAATAGATATTTTTTAATCCCACTTTAACATATATAAAAGAAAATAACAAAATTAGTAAAAATCCGGGCGTGACAAAACCCAATCCACCAAGAAATCCGCCAATTCGTCCTCTTCCCGCAAGAAAACCGAAAAACATGCACAATTCTGTTGCTTCGGGTCCTGGTAAAATTTGGAAAACACCATAAACTCTATTGAACCTTGCCGGAGTTATCCATTGATCTTTTATAACTAGTCTTTCTTTAATAAGAGCAATTTGAGCTACAGGTCCTCCCCAAGCATGAAATCCAAAATTAAGAAATAAAAGATAAATTTTCCAAAAGGATAAATGTGGTACTTTGGAATTATCTTCAAATTCATCAACCTCCATGACTTCTACTTGACCTTTGGGGAAGGTTATAACAGCTTCATTTTCGTTATTTTCTTTATTCACATCAGTCTTGTTTGTACTTGATTGAGTGTTTATTGTAGATTTTTCGTTAATTTGCTGTTGAGAAACAGAGTCATCATTTTGTGAAGAATCCATTAGGATCAAAAAAGAAATTTGATATGAAGTAAATCTGTTATTGCTTGAAGTCTTATAAATGCATAAAATTCCTTTGTTGTACGCATAAACCTGTACAAGCATACCGTTCCGGATTGGGTATTCGTGCTCACCCCCATATCAAAGATTTGGCGTATTTTGAATTCTTTGCAGAAATTGATTCTTATCATCAATGTCGGACATTTTTGTGCCACATTGGCCAATTGTATGTAACTCGATTCTGTTAACCGCAGAGCGCAGTTTATTCGTCACGTGGTATATGTGATATCAGTCACCGGACATGTCGCATGTCGATCATAGCAAATGACATTGATATAGATGTCGATCATTTGATCGACAAAA